TAATAAAATTATCATACAAAATTCGAATATAATTACACAATGAAAAAAATTATTTTAATTAAATAAGGTAAATGCACTAATTGCGGCGCGATCAATTAATATGAAATACGTTTTAATCATTTATTATAAACGGAAAATAAAGGAAACATTAAAAATAAGAAAATATATTTATAAATCGAAAAAGAGGAATTGTTTGAATTTATCATTGGAGATATTCGTTGCCGTCAACCATTTTTAACACATTGATTTTTTGGAATTCTCTGGTAAAATTTTATTTTCCATTTATGAATGATATCGCAAAATTATTTATTTGTTTGAATTTTTCAATAATGAATTTTCTTTAAATCTGAATTTAATTTAATTGAGAATTTTAATTTTATTTAAAATGATTTTTTTTGAATTTAATTGATTACTTTATTGATTTTGGAATTATTTAAGAATGAATTTAATTCTCTAAATTTAATTTATAATTTTTATTTAAAAATTGATGGAAATGTCATTCATTTAATTTCATAATTATTGTATCCATTTCCATCTTTTTCCATTTCTCGAATTAAAGAATCCTTTTTCTTTTAAAAAGAAAGAATAAGTAATTATTTTTCTTGCATTATATCGAGTCTTGACTCAAATTTTTATAATGTTCAAAATTTTAAATAAAGAAATTTATTAACCTTTTGTTTAGAAAATCTCATGTTTTATTTAATTTAAAAATTAAATCTTTTCGAATATGGCTTTTTCGAACCGCCCTCTCTACTGTTAACCAAGAATTGGGACTTCGGCAGGCCGAGTAAAAGGAAGACTATTTTAATTTGAATTTTGAATCATTTCTTTGCTTTGAGTTTCCCTTGATTATTGAATTTGACAGTATTTGAGTAAAAACCTGGTTGCCGTGTGTACTCTTCAGACTAATTTGACAATCAAGAATAATTTTGATTTAATTGTCGAATTTGACAGTCTCCAAAAATAATCTGCCTGGTGGCCTTGTGTATTTTTCCAGACGAATTCAACGATTAAAGAAAAATTTATTTAATCAATTTAATTCTTTTGTCCCTTAATTATTTATTTTTTTTTTGTCCCAAGAAAGGACTGGCGCCCAACAAATAATTTATTCGAGTCTTCCCTTTGTAACTTTGATTTAATTAATTGATTTTTTTTCAACATTCATCATTATTAAAAAATCATTGGTTACACTTTATAAAAATTGATTATTTAAACAAATATATGAGAAATTAAAACTGATATACCGTGTAATTATCTATTGCGGAGCGTTTGTACCAGTTTCGGTGTATCAATTTCGGTGAGCCAATGGAAATCTTAAAAATGTTTCAATTGCGGCGCGGAAAAAAATTTGATCTCAAATAATTAAATTAGTAATTGTTTAAATGTGCATCTTTATAAGTAATTGTATCAAAAAAAGATTAAAATAATTATTTTTTTTATCATTTTGCAACAGTTATATTAAATATAATAGTAATAAATAGTTATTTTTTATGAACGCGCCGTAATTGGTACACTTACCCTACTCGATTATTTAACAAATAAATATTTACATGAACCAAATAACTATTTCAATTAAATAAATTATATTTGAATTTATGTCTTTGAAATAAATTAATTGATACCACATAATTATTTATTAATTGATATTTATAGTCAAGTAACCGATTATTTTAATTAAATAAATTTTTTGCTACGTGCGCTAATTTACTTTTTCTGTCTAATGAATAAAATAGTGACATTTTATAACTCTCCTTTGCGTGAAAAAAATCCCTATACATAAATTGTATTTACATTCAAATTGAACATTGTATACTGCTAAGAGACACATTCGCATTTTATTACGAAATACTAAATTTATTACTACGCTGTGATTGTGTATATATCGCATTTCTTCTTATTCTCACTTACTTTGACAATTCACAGTGACGGATAACACGATACGCAGTTCGTAGTTACACGCAAAAAATTACGAAAGACAGTTGGGTAAGTAAGTATATATATTTATATACAACCGTATGTACATATACAATCCATTGTGGTGACATAGTCACTGCCTTGTGTATATACTCACTCTCTGTGTGTATAAATTGTGACGTAGCATTTTGTCGTGCACAAATAACTTATATAAGAAAAAAAATTACAACTTTTTGCTTGACCTACTGCATAGTGAGGTATTTCAATGATTTAGCTATGACCAAAATTAAATTGATGATTTTTATATAATCTGAATGTGTGTACTTATATAGTTTTGGGATCGCTTTTCACGAATTTGAAGTCAGTTATAAAAAAATCAAAATGGCGGACTCATTTTTGAAAAATATATTATGGATTCGTTTGAAAATCTTTGCTCAGACGTTTTTAGGGGTGCTGATTACGAGTCACTTTTTAAAAATTCAACATGACGGATCCAATTTTGAAATATACATCGAATTCACTTGATACTCGTTACTCAGGGGATTTTAGGATCGCTAAACACGAATCCAGTGTTAGTTTTTAAAAATTTTAAATGGCGGTTCCAAAATGGCCGAATTTTTTATAAATTTCATAATATTTACTTGAAACTCAGGGGTGTTTGGTGGTTTTAATTACAAATCCAGTGTTAATTTTAAACAATTCAAAATGAAGGATCCAATATAGCGGGGTATTTTTTAAAAATAGACGAAAATTGCATAATTTTTATGATTTAGGAGTCATACAAGAAGTAGTAGAACTTAAAAATTAGCGGTTATTTTAAATTCGATAGATTAAAAGGTGATGACACTTTTATATATCAGAGTTTGCATATAAAGTATATTATGAAATAACCTTACAAACTAAAACGTAAATTACTTAAGTTAAAATTTGTTTTATAATAAAAGAAAAATATTGATTTAATGCTCACTTACCTGCTTAAGAAGTGGGGATGATTGAATTATATAAATAATAATTAGTTACAAAATTATTTAAACTTTAAGCGAGTAAACAAAACAATGACAAAACAATAACGAATTTTGATTTATACAATTCACCAACTTCACGTGTCTGCGTAAATCTTATAGATAATTTCAAGATTTTAGGAGGGTTACATTTTGTTAATGAGCTAACCAAGATTTTCTACGTGTTTTTTCTTTTAAATAATAAACTTTACAAAATGGACTTTTGGCCAGCTAAATCATTGAAATATCCCCCCTGTGCACTGTAGGATACGTAAACCTACACTGCTAGAAATGTTCTGAATTTTCCGTCAAAATTAAGATACAAAAGTATCATAATTTTCAAAATAATGTTACTGAAAGCTAAAGTCAGTTACTTTAAACGAAAATTTGACAAACTGTACCTAAAAATACAAAATGTTACTGAAAATTCTACATAAGTAACTGATTTCTAAGTTGCAGTTACAGTTACAGTTACAGTTTCGTAATTCTCATGATTGTTGCTGAATAAAATTTTAGTATCAAGTAACTAAAAATTCCACAGAAAATTAAAAGGCATTAAAATAAGCTGCAACGCTTATTATTTTAATCCAATTTTGCTTATTTTAATCCATTTTGGTATTAAAATAAGCAAAATTGGATTAAAATAATAAGCGTTGCAGCTTATTTTAATGCCTTTTTATTTTCTGTGTCATTACTGTAATAATATTTAAACATATAATATAAACATCTTCATAAAATTATCTTATTTCACTATACTTATACTTGTATCGGGAATCAATGTCTTTCAAAATGGAGTCCTTATATATTTGAATTTGGTAAAGTTTTTTGTTTTTAATGATTTTTCAGAAAATCCAAATGATCCCCTGGTTCCCCACTCTATATAACATCAAAAATATTTAGTAATTTTGCAAATACACATTATATAATAAAATTCTCCATATAATTCTGAATACTGTATACTTTACAGTGTGTGCATGTGTGTTTGCGAATTCTACTTAATTTTTAGTTTCGAGTTATTTGACAAATTTCCACCACAGCGAGAAACAATCCACCCCTTTCGAAATACTTTGGTTTATGTGGTTCCCTTTGACGAATTGCTATATTCCACTCGACCGTAAAACAACCTAATGCTCTTCTATATATATATATATATATATGCCATAGGAAATGGCATTGCTGCATTCATGATGAAAATTCAAGGGAAAAGCACAATTCTGAATAGCCTTTTGCCTCATGAGAGTAAATTAATTTTCATTTTAAAATAACAAAAATCAGTTTCAAATATATGACTAAATACTTTCAAAAAGAATGTTATTTATATATGTTGCAGAATTATAATTTAGCAAAATATGTCTATATTTAATGTGTACATAATGATTTTCCGTAGAGAAATTTAAATAAAAATATTGTTTTTTCTGCTTCTGTCAAATAACGTTCATTATTTCATACTTTAATAGGTATACCAAATTATATATTCCAAAACCAACTTTTGATAATTGAAATTATATTCCATACCCTTAAATAAAATTTTTTGTCTAAATTTATAATAAAAGTATATAAAACGATTAATTATTCATAATTTGTGTTCTCTCGACGATAATTATATACATCGTTGAGCGTCCAAGCTTAATTCTCGAAGGAACGTACGTTCTCTGAAGGAGAGGCAAATTCAGTTTCTGTTATAGGGGTTAACTAAGCCTGTGATTTCACTGTAAACATATATTGTAGACCACTTTTCCCTCTCTGTCTCTCTCTCTCTCTCTCTCTCTCTCTCTCTCTAGTCGTCCTGCAAAACCCTCACTGATATGACATTCCACTTTTGAGCGTGGATTATAAATTATTTAATCAAGCTAACGCTATATATACAGTTTAGGACTCTTTCTCTCTCTCTCTCTCTCTCTCTCTCTCTCTCTCTCTCTCTCTCTCTCTCTCTCTCAGTTCTTTTAAGCTTGCGAAAAGAAAATATTTGCCCCATTATATAAAAGTGGAAATATACATACATATATATATATACATTCCTTCCATGTTGACTATATGGATGTTAGTGTGCAGAAATGGTAGCAAGTAATGGGGGGGGGTGCAAATATGGGGTATAAGGGCGCGAGAGACCAGGAGAAGGCAAAGTATTCGAAAGGTTCTGTGCGAGGGAGGTTTAGGGAGAGGGTAGCTTCAGGCAGTAATAAGAACGACGGGCTTAGTTTTAACTTCTCTTTTATGTCCGCATTTTCCGTTGGTGCTCTTCGCCGCTTTGTGCGAATGAAAGCACAAATTGCCAAGCCGTGAGCGCCTTCAGGGAGACATTGAGACAGTAAGAAGACTTTTGCCTGCCAATCCCCCGCCTCCTTCCCACCCCCCCGGTATGTTTTCAGATTGTCTTCCTTCTTATTTCTATGAACTGCTGGTTTTCCTCAAGAAACTTGTTTCAAGTTTTCTTTTTTGTGCGGCTTCGTCGAACACAACTTCTATACACACGTTTATACAAGTAGCAGAGGAGAAACTGTATTTGTATATTATATATATATAAACAAACTTTCATAACTTTTACACAGGACATTGTTTGAAAAATTTGGTTATTAAAAACTAAACTAAATTTGATTATTAAACTAACTATTAAAACTCTGTTTTTTACGAAAACTGTGATCTCGAAATTATTTCGACATAACCTCAAAATTAGGTCAAAATTCAGAGTTAAAATACAAATATAACCTCAAATATTCAAGATTCAAAAGGGTTAGTGCAAAATTGTAATTTAAAACCTTCGGAGAAAAACATAACCTAAAAAATAGTTTACTAAACCTACTCATATCAGTAGATGGCGCACGAGATTTTTTTTTTCCGTGATATATATATATATGTATATGTGACATAAGACGTCGCGAGTGACTTGGAATATACATAAGTATACAGGACAAGAATGAGGGGATCAAGAAGAGCGCGTAGTTTCACAGCGGTTATATTACATTTTGGTATGGTTTAAGATGCGTTATCGAATGTTTTATTCATAAGTGGAAGAACAAAGCCTGCGTTTATCATGAGGACATCTTGCTCGCGGAGCAGTGAAATCTACGCAACGTTACACATCGTTGCATGCGGGTTATTCCCTTGCCCTTATAGTATAAACACACACACATATATATATATATAACGTAATCGAAACGAACAATACGATTCAGGTTACCATTTCGTTTTCGATTAGTCAAATCCTCAGCGTCAGAAAATTCCTTTCTCACCACACCGTAGCTTTAGCATTGAGATTTTAGTTTAACAGAATATACGATTCAAAAATAAATTTCAAATCGTTACTTTTGAAAATAATGAACTGAAACACGTTACATGTTTAACTGAAAAAATTATTAGAATTCTACATTACCGATTGAAACAGTCAAATCTACATTACCGTTAGTCGGTAAAAAAGATTTGATTGTTTCAATCAGGAAAGTAAAATTCTAATAATTTTCATTGAAATATAACTAAATTTCTGTTGAATTCTAATCCATTAATATATTTCGATCCTTATGAAGAAAGAAGAAAAATCAATTTTCTTGAAAAAAAAAAAGAAGGAAACAATTACTCGTGTGTAAGAATGAATGTATTTGTTAGGGTGATAGAACACAGAGCTATTCAAAGTGAGATTCGCAACCACTTGTGGGTCTTCTGAATTGCCCTAATAAAAATGTTATACCGCTTGGCGTCTTTCTATATATAAGACTCTTTCGCCCTTTCTCTTTTTTCCTCTTTCCCTCCCGGCAAGTCGACCAAAAAGAGAGGGGGAGTCACCAGCTGAACCGAAAAAAAAGCTTTCTCGATGGCTTTAACAGATAACCGCGAATACAGTAGCTTCTTTGAAGGTATCTTTGTCATTTGTATCTCTCCGCGGGAGCACCCACGAATGACAATGGCTCCTTCCCTTTAGTGCCGAAAGCGACTTTAACCCTTTACACAAACACATATACATTCTAAAGTATTCTTTTTCTGTCTTTTTTCTTCATCTTCATTCATCGTATATCTGCAACTGAATTTACCTCTTCTAAGAATTATTCAGACTTTAGAAGAAAGAAACAAACACTCTTCTTAAAGTGGGTATATTTCTCAAAATTTTACTCTTAATTAGTAAATAATTATTATCTAACAAACAGATGTTGTTAAATTAATGTCAGAAAGTGGATTTATTAATTCATTTATTAAATATTGTTTGTAATGAACCAATAATAAAATATTTGAATCCAGTTTGTTGTGGTTTTTAATTTAAGCAAATTTCACTCTCGACACCTGACAATAAATCATGTTATACATATATGAAACGCCTGTAAAGACGAGTGAATCTCGCAATTTTGCTTCCGCGAAGTGAATGACCATCTTGTAACACACACACAAGACTCGGAGGCAGCATACATTAACATTTATTTCAACTCTCTCTCTTTCTCTCTTTCTCTATAAGTATATCTCGTTAGAATAGAATGCAGGACAGAGGCAACAATGAAAGAAGCGAAGGATAATTCTCGTACAGCCACTTCGATTACCCCGAGGGTCAAACTTGTAAGCAAAATCTTCCCTTGACCCCGTTAATTGTCATATTATACATATATATCTTTGAACGTGCTATGAACGTGTATATATATATATATATATATATATATATAAGAGAAAGAGCGATAGAATTATAAAAAGAAAAGGGAGCAAAAAAAATAAAGAAGATAATTCAAAGAGAACAAAATCGAAAAGAGAGAGAGAAAAAAAATTGAAGAAAGGAAGGAAAAAGAGAGAGAGAGAAAGAGGCAGAACGTGGGTGGAACGCAATGATTTACGAGGACTGGCGTCCGGAGCTCAAGCCGGACTCCAGAGACGCCTTGCTGATAGCGTCAGAGCCACATAAGTCATCGAGAGTCTACCTAGGGGTCTCTCTCTCTCTCCTTTTCTACTCTCCCCTTCTTTTTTTCTCTCCTACTCTCTCTCTCTCTCTCTCTCTCTCTCTCTCTCTCTCTCTCTCTCTCTCTCCCTCACCCCACAACTATAATGTTGCATCCTATTCTTAATCTTCTTTTGGACCCCCATTATCGAACCTCGAGTCCAATTATAACGACCGCAATATCGAGGGAATTATAATTGCTTTCCTGTGTGTGACATAGGAAGATTGCAATAACGAAAGCACGTACGAATCTAAAAATATTTCTAACCAATATTCTCCTTTGTAATTATCACCAAAAACATCCCTGTCGTTAGTTCTTATACAAGCTTTACACCCAACATATATAATGAATCATCTATAAATTGTATTATAATGATAATTTGTATGATCGTTGAAAATTATCGCTTTAAGAAAGACAATCAGTATATTGTCACCAAAAACCTATAATTAAAAAAAAATGTAACAAAAATGCGAAACTTCTCATTTGAAACTATACTAATTCATTAACACCGAAATGTAAAAAATTTTTATACAAACTTTGAGGACATTTTTCAATATTTAAACGCTACTATTAAAAATTTCGCAATAGAGTTCATATTTAAAATTAATGACGCATTAATAACCCCGAGTAACAAGTTTTAGACAAATTATTTAAATTTTTAATATCGCTATATTGGTTTCAACATTTTGAATTTTTGAAAATCAAGGTCGGATTCGTAATCAGCGACTGCGAAAACCCCCGAGTAATAAATTTCAAAAGAATCCGATGAATTTAAAAAAATTCGTCCACCATATTGGAATCGCCATTTTGAATTTTTAAAAACTGACAACGGATTAGTAATCAGCGACCAAAAAAACCCCTCAGATACCAAGTTTCATAAAAATCCAACAATTTTTTTAAAAAAATGACCGCCATATTCGATCCGCCATTTTGAAATTTGAAAATCTAATATCAGATTCGTAATCAGAGACCCAAAAAAAAACCCCCCGAGTAACATGTTTCAAGAGAATCTGACAACTTTTGAAAATTTCGACAACTTGTTTATAAAATTACTTAAAAATATTAACTTTTGACGACATTTTGAAATTTAATTTTCTCAATAGTCCTATCCTGTAGCCCAAACATTTTTAACATTTAGTGGTATTCTGATTGAATAAGCTGTGAAAAAATTACAAGAACTGAAAAAAATTGTGTTTTTTTTAAAAAAAAAAAGTGCATATAAATTGTTTATTTAAAAATTTTCGTTTTTTAGCACATTATTCGATAGAGCGGTTAATGAGACATAATAAATATTTATTGCAAAATTTTTATCGTAGCGTTTAAATATTAAAAAATAACCTCAAAGTTCAGGTAAAAATTTTGTACATTCCGGCGTTAATGGGTTTGAAATTTATATTGAAAATTCCAAACAGCAAAACAGCTTGCAAAAAATTTTTGCAATCATTCGAAAATAAGCGAAATAACTTATTATATTGTAATGAATTAATTTATAACTTTAATTATTAAACTATTATTTATAATAGTTTGAATTTTGGCGCCTTTTTAAACAATACTAAATGTTGCCACAAGATGTCATATACTTTCATTACTATTAACTAGCTCAGGAATTCAATTGATACCTTACGACAACAATAGATGACGGAGAGTGGGTGGTAAGGAGAAACTCTATTAATTACACAGAATTTACAACAGTTAGATTATTCATTAACAATCACTTCAATCGTATTTAATTCCGATTATTCATAGGGTAAGTGTATGAATTACTGCTGATGCGCCAATTACTGCGATTTTTATAAAATTAGTAAAACTTAGTAATTGAGAACATAAAACTGTTTCAAAATTACTTTAAAACTTATTACAAATGATATTTGATATTATATCTACTAATGATGCATATTTCGACTATTATCAAATTATTTATTCAAGTTACAATTGAACATATCACAGTAATTAGAGAATGCGTATATTTTTCGCATTCTGCTATTACTGTGGTCTATCCAGTCAACCTAACCTCTAAATCAACACTTTTAGCGTTGCAGTAATTGGTGCACACCATTCGCAGTAATTCATGCAAATTTGCAGTAATACCAGCATATGCCATTTTTAAAAAAGTTAATATTTTTAATAATATATTTGTTATTTCTTTAAGTTTAAAGTATCGTTTCTATTTTAATAGACACTAATAGTGATTTAACAAAAAGAATTAAATCATTATTTCATTTATACACTTTTATTATTTTATCATTAAAGTCGGTCTTGGGTTATACATCAAAGTAATTGGGACATTTACCCTATATTATTTACTTTAAACTCAGCAAATAATGTGGAGTGATTAAATTGTGGCTGAGGACCGAAAATACAAGATTGACATTGAATTAATTTTACAAATTTACAATTTTTATTATAATAAAATTGACTCAGAAGGAAACGACTTCTAATTAATTTATTGGGACTCATGGTTCAGTTGACGACGACGATGACGCCTTGTCTCATTATTATATGTTACATTTTAATTATTTCACAAACAAAAATAGAACAACTAACTGTACTCTACGAACACGAGAATGAGGATGAAGATTAAATGGCCGACGAGCCATGCTCGAACGCGTCGCCGATCAGCGCCCTCTCTTCTTGGTGTTATTCAGATTAATTAATATTCAATATAATATAATATCCTCGATCGATAATCGATACGCGACCGTCGGTAACGCAGATCCCGGAACTATCATATGTAGAGTTAATTGACGATTAAAGTCCATAGGAAAATATCTACCTGTATAGTATTTTGACAGATCGTTAACAAAACAGCATTTTCGTCTTTCTGATGTTCTTGAATATACGGAACACACATCCGAATATATAAAGCAGGAAGCTCTCACCATGAAGACTTCGGAACTTCCAAGATCCATTGCGATAACCTGAACATTGTTCCGTATAAACAAGAGTCCTCAATGCCTCGTGAGAATTTTACATAACAAAACAAGGACTAATCAGAACCAATATTTATTTAATATAAGACTGACTATTAATTCTAACGACTTTGCCAAGATGGATTAATTATTTTACATTTCCCTAACAACAACGGATATTTTAGAATATCGGCTGTATCTAGCTGTATCCGGAAATTTGGATATCTCTGAGATGTCGTTAGGATATTTAAGGATATCCCTGGAACATTCTATGGATTTCCTGTATTCCGGATATCGTAAATATCTGGATGCTGTTAGGGTAAATTATTTATTAAATATCCAATTAGTTTTCATTAATTTAATTCATTTCTGCGGTACAAAATACCACGTCACAATATATTAGTTATATATAAATAAAAATTTAATATAATTGGATCATCCATAAATTTGAAATTAAACATTCGTAACTATTAGTCGTACCATATAACAAAATTTCTAGGACCCTCTATAATTTTCTGCAATTTTTCTAAAATAAGGATCACTATTGTTTTTTTAATTCGATTAACTCATCAATCAACTTTTAAAGTAAATAATGATTATAATCAGAGGACAGACACAAACGAGAATTATTTCATAAATCATATTCGAGGACGAAATATATATATATATATATATACTTTTTTTTTCCTACACACAAAAATTTTGTTGTATTTCAGGCAAACTATTTATGCAGATAATGAATTCTATATTTTACCATTTTAACCACATCATCATAGATATAGATTATCTAGGTTGAATTGAATTTTGAATTCTCATTAAAGATGGTGATTGTCTCGCTATCTCACTTAATTACAGACAGTTCGTCGATAATGCCCACCTTCAAAATGCCGTAACAATTGGCGTGGCTTGCCGCACGTCAATGTGATTTATGTCCGGGAAATGGGTCGTGCCTTCGAGGCTAAACCGTCTGGTTTTAGAAAACAGTTCAGACCTATATTAAAAAAATAGATATATATATATATATATATGTACTATATAGTAGCGATGAGAATATTATACTGCTTATTTTAAAATTGAGCAAAATGTAAATTACATAAATCATTTATACGAATGTGTCACTTGAAAATTAGACATATAAATATTCGTGTATGTAGAAACACATCTTTATGGGAAATCTTATTCGTGAAGTAGCTATTTCATTTGCATAAATGCAGAATTTATTATTTCACATCAAAATCTCAGACGCAATAATAATTCATAAGGCATACGAATGTTTCGTCAAAATTGATATTCCATTTGCACTATTACTATTTTTTTTATATTTACATATATTATAAAATTATAAAATTTGAATCGATAAAAAAGAAGGAAATTTACGAAAATAATTATTTAAATGAATTAGTGAAGAAATATGTATTATTTACGTTTGAAATACCTTAAATTAGTGTTTACACTAGTTTTAAAACTTAGTTGCATAATAGAGCACGCATAATCATTAAAATAAAATAATTTACTAAATTAATTCAACTAATTGTGAAAATTAATTGTAATAAGCATTAAATTCATAAACTTTTGCAAATTAAATAAATAATTGCACATTCATACTAAATCTACTAATACTAAATACTAATACTAAATTTAAGAGACAATACTGGGGGGACAATTACGTAACTTTTTCCGGGTCCCACATTCCTCATCCCTCTTTTCACAATCCGTATTCCTAATTCCAAATTCCGGATCCCACTTATCATATTCCACATTTCGGATTCCGAATCCGACCTTCAGGGTTCCACATTCCGGATCCCACTTTTCAAATTCCGTATTCAACATTCCGGATTCTATATTCCACATTCCGGATCCCACCTTCCAGATCTCACATCCCGAATTCCACTTTCCACGTTCCAAGTTCCACTTTCAGAATATGAAATACAGAATGTAAAAAGTGGAATCTGGAATCCGGAATATGAAAAGTAGAATACGGAATTTTGAAAGTGGGTTCCGGAATGTGTAATTTGGAATGTTAAAAGTGAAATCCGGAATATGGAACCTGGAATACGGAATTTTGAAAGTGGGATCCGGAATCTAGAATACAGAATGTAAAAAGTGGAATCCGAAATTTTAAATACGAAATTTGGGATCCGAAATACGGAATTTTAAAAGTGGAATCCGGAATCTAAAATAAGGAATGTGGGATCCGGAGAAAATTACGTAATTAACTTCCTGCTCGTATACTATAAAACAAATTCAACCGGTTTTTGACATAAAATAATGGCATTAATTAAAACAAACAATTATTTCAAATATGTTATGAATAAAAATAGCACAATATTAATTGTTTTATGTGGCAAAATTTCTGATTTAAATATATATATAATGTGAAATTCTTTATCGCCTCGTAAATTAAAAAAGTCACTGCTTTGTGAGAATTACTGTAATACGCTATCTCGTTATATTTATACTTATTTTCTTTATTATGACTTCTTTCATTAATTTTGTATAGAATGAATAATTCGGCGAACTTATACATACATATATATATATACTTCTCGCCGAGTGGTGCTCGCGCGCGTCATAAATTTTCGTTTCTCGTCGCGTTATGTATTATGCATTTTCTGTCCACCCGTTTCAACCCGTATTTAGAGCTCTTGACAATTATCTTTCCGCTGGGTAAGAAGGCATGTAATATTCATGCCGTGAATGTAAGTGGACGAACGGACCAACACACACACAATACCAAAGAGATTTCTGAGATTGCGCGCTAACCGTGACACACTAATACCGGGAAGGAAACGAAGAAAATCTGACTTAATTGGGCCAGATTGTATAATTATATTTTAATCGAATTCGATGTTTGACACTCTTTTTGAAAATTCTCATATAAAATTCCTAATAATAAATAATATTTCCTCAACTATATATATATATAGCATCAATATTTCCTCAAAGGCGGACATCTTTTTTTTTTGTTTGCAACAATATATTTCAAGAACTTTTCATTGAAATATTTCACAAAAATATTTAGAAAATATAAATACACATTTGTAGCTACCAATATAGCGATGCACTTATATGAATGGTAGTTGTTTTTAACAAACAGGACTATTTGCTACGGACATGGCCTTGAACATATGCCGGATATGACTATTAGCGCTCCATGTGGCGAAATTAGTCAATTTTCGTTGGACAACGATAATGACAGATCAATGGTAATCAATGTAAATAATATGAATGTTATTATAAAAACGAGGTTTGCTGCAATAAACCATGAAATTGAATTTCGCCCAGAAACAATTAAAAAAGGGAAGGCCTTTAGCGATGATTCACGTTGTCAGGGTGGAAGAATTTAGAGTTAATGGAATCAGTGAAGCAATTAAAGCAATAAGTGTGATTCGTCAAACGTCTGTCAATTCTCCTCCTTATTCAGTTAATTTAATAGTAGTTTTTTATTTTAAAAGATATATATAATGATTTTTAAAATTCCATTTACACATATGAACCAAAATAATTTATTTAAACAAATAATTAAAGAGAATGTAGGATATAACATAACCTCAAAATTAAAAAATAATTTTTAATGCAAACAAAAACTAAATATAACCTATTTTTAAAGATTTAGTTATAAAAATTTCGGATAAAATTATGTTAAGCAATTATTTTTTAACATTTGCCATTTTTTGAGAATAAACAAAAATCGAATTTTTCATCTATTTTTTATAAAGGATTAGTTTAAATTTAGAGAAACTTTCTTTACAATCGAAATATTTTATATAATTGTTAAAAAATTGTAAACAAATCAAATTTTATTTCATAATTAATTTTTTTACAACATATTTTTAACACTTTAAAAAAATTACGATTGAAGAGAATTGTTTTACTAAATAACATAAACTTTTGGTTCTAAAGTTTGATAAACACTGCAATTTTTTCAGTTCAGAAAAAAAGTTCAAATTTGTAAAGAAATAATCATCTAATAAAAGATTTTAATTGAAAATACTTTTTTCCAAAAAGTGCATATAACTTGATCTTTCAAAATTACTTGAAATTAATTTTAAATAATTTTTTTTGTTTATGTTAATAGCCATTTTCACCACCCTCCATAAAAAATGCAACCTAAAATATTTTTTCCAGTTTGACTCAAATCGAAAAGTTACTTATATGTTTTTCATGTACATCTTAATAGTTTATAAATTTGGTCGCCGTAGTATATCACAAATAGATTTAATCGTCAGAAACAATTAAATGTCACTTTTTTCTAATGTAAACATTTGACAAGTATCCAACGAAAAATGCGCCACATATTGCCACTAGAGGCGCCACCGTGTTTCCGTGTCCGCAGCGAATAAATATGTCTTCTTGATCCCAATGCCATTTCTATTCTTGCGAGACTTATAAAAGAATCATTAAAATATTCGGAATTAACTACAAAAGTCATAACATTTATTATTGATTAGTTGTTTTATGGTTGTCATAAGTATAGATAAACGACAACGTATTTTAATTTCAGACAATTTAATCGGGCCCGAAATTTAATGCATTGTATGCGGAGACCTTTGATATTGTTGCATATTTTAAATGCTAAGAATCTATATTTGTGTTTTATTGTCTAAAATGTGTTATTATTGAATATTTTAATACTAAAAAAGCTATAAATCTTTTTTTATGTCTTAAATACTTTGCAAAATGCCCATCTGTCGAGAACTGATGACAAAATAAAAAAAAAAAATATTTGAAAAACAGAAATTAGATCATTTTATTGGAATTTCAAGTAAGAGCACCCAATACCCAAAAAAAAGTAAACATTTGCATTATGACGCACAATATATTTAAATATTGCAAATATTGAATAATTAAAAGTGTAAAAAGAAAAATAATATGAAAACAGTTGGTATTAAACAAATACTAGAAACCTTGAAAAAATTTAATATAAGGAAAAAAAATTAGTTTCAAAATCAAATATCATGTAATTAAGTAAACATGTGACGTCGCAAATGTAACGATGCAAATCAATAATGATACTATTTGATGTCTAGTTTCTTGAAACCTAAAACATGTTTAAATATTGATATTGTTACATAAATGATTAAAACGAATAATAATGAGATTAATTTCATCATATATTTATGGAAATAAATTTTAAAAAAAGCCTATAATTTCTAGCGTTTTTAGTTGTAATATTACACTTGTTTAATATAGTCTTAACTTATTGAATTATGAAAGTTCATAAGGAAATATTGCTGCTTCTTATCATTCTTATAAACATGAATACTTTATGTTTATCATATTACGGCATTATCGTTTTAAATGAGACAAAAGTAAGTTTTAAACAAAAATTAAGGGTATATAATTTGTTATTTTAATGCAATGCCTAATATAAATGAAAATTCATAAATCAAATTTTATTTTTTATTTTTTCATAGTTAAAAATTTATCTACTTTAATAAGAGTAATAATTAAACCAATATAAATCTCTTTTTTTAAAACATTTAATCCCTTCATTGGAAATATTTTACATTTTTATAAATAAATTTAACAATCTCTAACCTAAGGGTGGACATTTGGCGGTTTGGATATCCCAGGAGTGTTTAATGGATATTCAAACCGCAAAAAAATTAAAAGTAGCTTTGAGGCGTCCCAGGGATATGATATAAATATATATCCCATTGTTGTAAGGGAATAATTTAATAGGGGTTAGACCAATGTGAAAACCGAAAATCAGACCCATTTTTAAGACTTTTTTTCAAAAACACAATAAAATGAATTAAAAAATCAATTATATATTATTGTTAAGTAGATATTAAGCTATTTAAAAATTATATTCAAAAGGTAAAAAAATTAAAATGGCGACGGTGTCAGTCGATCTACAAAATTCCTTTTTTTATGCAGAGGTATATACGTCCGGTCAAAAATCTTTTTTTAGTTTTTACTTAGAACAATAAACCAAATTTTTTCTTAATTTATAACTAAAAATCTCTAGAAGTACGTAGGGGATTTTAAAAAAAAAAACCGATTTTTGGTCCTGTAAAAAATAATTTTCGGCGCTGAGCGTCAACGCCAATTTCATGGAGGTCAATTTTCATAATTTTTTTGGATACTGGCATTTGGTATTGAATTAATACTGACCGAGTACTGCAGTGGGATTACTAATAGCGCTAGTCGCTATATGTAGCGCTTTTTGTTATTTAGAATTAAAAACTTACATATTTTTAGTGAAATTTGTTCCAAATCATGGACAAAATAAAATACCGTTGACAATTTCTTCAAAGCTTAAACTTCACAGTGGTCTAACCCCTTAATGTTAATTTCAAGAAATAAGAATTTCTATTCTCTTAATAAATGATTTTAAATTATATATTAAATGCCTCTACAAAGAAAATACTAATATTTTCAGCCACTCACAATTCTGACAGAAGAAGATAGAAGAGATGTATTTCCATTTCAAAATTTTTTCAATATTTACCACGACTCAGAAATAATAAATACCTTTTTAAACTTTAACATCGAGAAAATTGTTTTCATTATATCAGAAGATTTAAAAGATGGTATAATACTAGCTAAATTTTTAAGTGACAATAATAGAGTGCTACCTGATAAAAATTTTTATAATAATCATGAATCCCTATTCAATGATATAGAGCAAGTTTATTATCTATATTACAGTTTAAAAACATCGGCTTATATCTTAGTTTGTTCTAAAAATTTGCTGAATAATATATTATTATCATATATGACAAAGAAGACATTTGAATTGGCAGAAAAATTTAAATTTGCAATAACATGTTCAGAAGAGATTTCTGATAATACATTAGACTCAATGTTTCAAATTACATCAAATCTTTTGTACTTTCAACATCCAAAAGATAGTAATATTGTTATTTTTATTCCATTAAGTATAAAAGAAAATTCCTTTACTAAATTTATGGACGATTTATACAAATTAGAACTATACTTTTACCAAAAAGGATATTTTATAAATCAAAGTGAAAACAAATTAAACACTTATAAAGAACAAATAGAATATAATATATTAAAGCAGCATATTAAGAATGATAGAGATAATACTTCTACAGTAATAACTGGTTTCTTTACTTATTTATTTAAAGAACCGCAATTAATTTTTACTAATACTTTCTTAACAGGACAGAAGCATTTAGTAATTTTTCATTCATTATTAAAATGGAATGAAACTGAAGAAAATTTTCAATTTTTAAAAGACAAAGCTTTCTATTCATTCAATAGTAGTATGGATAAAGCTTCATTAATTAATACGAATTTAAAATTTATATTTACTTTCTCAAATTGGTTACAAATAATAGATAAAAACATAAAAATACAATCAAATGATAATTATTCAATTTCTTATTTTATTTACGAACTTTGTAACAGTAATCTTCAAATTGAATACGTAAGACTAGTTTGTTTTTTAAAATATATGGTGGAAGGCAATAATTTGATATATAGTGGATTGACATACACATGGTTTAGTTATTTACAATCTTTTACTATAGATTATTATTTTCAAGAAGAAAAAGTATGGTTATACAGAGTAGTCTCACTATATGGAAATTTAATGAAAAACAATGTGTCTACACTGTCCAACGAATTTCAAAACTTGTACGAAGAAATACCAAAAAGTGATGGAATAAAGCGGCATTTAATGATTAGCGCTTTTCGCGTTATTATCGATTCACTTAATTCGCAAGCTGAATATTTGTGCTTTCCACTATCTGAATACGGCTACAAACTGCAAGTTAAAGGAATATCATTAGTCTTTGACAATAGTTTTACTGAAAATTATTGTGACGGAAAAGTGATAATCCTAGAGATTATGGCTCTTGATAGAATTATTTTTGATGAAGAATCGGAAATTAGAATGGATATTGAACAACTCATTATAGTTGCACCAATTTGGGAAATTACTAGCAACATAAATATAAATTTACAAGGTTATGATGGAAGAAATTTAGAAATTACAGAAAATTTGGTAAGTTATAACAGAAATGTTTATTTTAAAAAATGTTTAAACTTCTTAAAATAGTTATATACAATAATTTAGAATCAAATAAGTGATAATTCAAGGTTAAACTTTTTCAGCGGTTTCTATTAGATATAATAGCGAATGGAAGTTCAACTAAATACATAGATGGTTTACCAGGTGCACCCGGAGGAGCTGGAGGATCATTCTTTGGAATGGTTGATACAATTCTTGGGGGAGAAAAATTGTTTATTATATGTAATGGTGGTAATGGAGGTGATGGAAATCACGGTATAGATGGAATAGTTTATTTATCGGATGAATATCCACCAGGAAAAGGAGGTAAAAAAGGGTTAGGTGGTCCTCCGGGTATGGGTATGATTTTTAATTTTAATTATTCTACTGTTTCGAACATCGAAATAATTGCTGAAAAGGGTGATGATGGTATAGATGGACCTAATGGTTCTTATAAAGATTCACCGGAAATTAAGGAAGAGATTGAAGAAAGAAAGCATTTTACCGATTCTTTACTGAGTTACTATTTGAATAATGTAAAAAAAGATAATGATTTAAAGATAATGAATCCTCTATATAAAATTAATAGTACACTATCCGGCATAGAAGATTTTTTTATCACATTGAAAGATTACAGAAAATATGTTGTAACCAAAGCAATTGAAACAGGTTCAATAAGCTGGGCTCATTTATACGAAAAACTTAATAATAATCCAAATGTTGTAAAAAATATTGACACATTTAACTTTGTTAATGAAATACTTGATTTTGAAGGTAATTATTCCATTAACTTAAATAAAGTTTTTTTTCACAAATTGTACAAGGGGTGGCACAAAGGTGTCCAATTAAAAGGAATTCACTTATTTACAAATGAGTTACATCACGCTGATAAAATCATTGAATATAACGAAGTGTTTACAAATTTATACAATATGATAGAAAGAAAGATCGAAAAAATATCTGATAATCCGTATTATTCATCAATTCATGTAATCGATGACTATCTAACGCAATCCATTCAAGATGGTGAAGAATTAAGGAGATATCAAGTTCTTAATAAACTACAAGAATTTAGCAACAATTTTAGAAGAAAACTTGACATACAAATCGAGGAGGCAGTAAAATTGATTGATGTAAATCTCACAGTTTTTTTGGATCAGAAAATTGAAGATGTAAATAAGGAGCTTACAGAATTAATAAAGGAAATTGACGAAATGATAAGCACAAAGAAAGTAGCAATCAAGACTATGGAAGAGAAAAAAAGCGTACTCAATAGGAAACTGGCGTTAAAGATACTTTTTTCAATATTAAAATTTACTTTTATTGGAGTTGCATTTGTCATGGGTCCAGCTGGTGCAATAGTTGCTGCTATGTTAAACACGGGTATTTTCATCCTTGAAGACATTGCTTTCAACACTGACACTAATACAGGGTTTAAAGACATTAAAATGCCGGAAGGTGTAAATAGTTTACTGAAAAGTTCACTTGAAAGATATAATAATAATAGGAAGAAAGAAGAGGAAGATATTAAAAAGCAATTAGATCTTATAGAGCAAAAGAGAAAAGATTTAATTTTAGAAGGTGAAGACGTGCAACCAATAAATGATTTTAACAAAAAAATACACGAAAATTGCATTTTAAAGGGAAAGGAAATATCCAGCCAACGGAAATGTATGATCGAAGAATTGGAAATAGAAAAAAATAAATGGACAATGAAAAGTGAAAATGCAAAAACAAAATCTGGAAAAGCAGCAAAGTATCTTAGTTCCATGGTAATTGTAACAGATGTTTTAAATACAGGTATAGAGAGATACAATAAAATTACAGTAGAAATAGCAGCAAAAAATCAAAACCAACAACAAATAAATAAAGAGGAAAACGATATAAATAAATTGGAAGCTTTCAAGAACATGGTTAAAGCAGATTTTGGTCAGCAAATAGATCAGATTCGAATGAACATTCAAAATAAATCTAAAGAATTTACTATTTCTTCAAGTGCTCTTCTTGAATATCAAAAATTCCATATGGATGATTATTTAACGAATATTTCATCACAATTAGAAAAGTGGACTATGAATTTAAAAATTTCTGATGAAGTTTCAGAATCAATGACAAAACTAAAAAAGGCAATGAAAGCAATTATTAATATGCATGCTCTCATTAAAGATTACAATTTTAAAATTGAAAATGCTCAGTATTTGAAAGATATTGCAAGTACACAATTTCAAATTACGAATATAAAAGATTCTAAACTATTAAAAGTTTTAACAAAAGTGGAGCAGCTTTATTACTCAAATGATGTTCTCGATGACTATAATAAATTAGTCATTTCTATGAAATGCTATACATATCCATTTATAAAAGAATATTCATTCTTTATCTCAATTCCAAAAATGTATTTTGATAGCAATTTAATAAAAGCAAGTATTGCACTTGAGAAAATGAAAAATTTACAGTCAAAATTGATAAAAAAGAAAGGTCAGGATACATTATTTTATCATATTTTACAAACCAATTTTATAAATGGCGGTGATTTTCCACCCTTTTATACTTGGCATAATAGTACGCATTCGTTGGCAATTAAAGATTTACTTGAAGGAAAGGAAGTTAAATTATTTGCAAATATTTCTCATGAAGACAATTATAATGCTTTAAAGTTTCGAAATATAAGTATTTCATTCTTTTCTGAAGATCCACAAATAAACGAACAATTAAAGAAGGACTTAAAAAAATTTGCCGTAAGTCTAAAACACAACGGTGATTCATACTATAGATGTATGGATAAAGTACATTTAATAAAAACTGATCCACATGAAATTGTAAAATTTAATCCTTATGAATCAAGAAAAAAACGTCATTTTTTTGAAAAAGATTATGTTTTAAGTCCCTTTGCTACGTGGTCCATGCAGCTTCTAATGACCAGTAATAATTATAATTTTGATAAATTAGCTAAATATGTGAATCAAGTAAATGTAGAATTGTATGGAGAAGGACAGTTCATGACTCCAAATACAACAATTTGTAGTAGTACATTTTTAGATTATTATGAAAAAGAGTTGTTTATAGAATAGGGTAACTGCACCAGTGGTGGATCATGCACCAGTGGTGGATCACCTGCGAGAAAAATGGTCATTTGTGTTTACACGTTTGTAAGTAAATGAACCGCAAGTGTCGGTAATTGTTAAGAAAGTTATACAGATCAATATTACAATTTAAAAAAATTTTTAAATTCATCGCGAAGAAAGCAGGACAACAATTACTAAAGTGGTGACAGAAAACAAGAGTTTTCCTTAGCATGTAAGTTAAGAGTATATTTTGGAATAGAAAGCTTTGGAGCCATTTTAGGACAATTTTTAATTCTTTTCACAATAGGAGGCATTTCGTTTCATCCCCATAGAGCCCTGAGAACAATATTTACGTCTGTAAGTAGCGCGTGTCCATTGTTTTCGAGTGATCCACGACTGGAACCAAAAAAGTAACAAAATCTAGTGGTGGATCAGTCCTACTTTTCGCCTGTTGACGCATTGTTTTATTGAAAATTTTATGAGTTAAATTTTAGTTAACACTAATTCAAATGTTTATTAATTGTTAACACCTGATTTCAAATTGTTAAATTTTTGTTGAATTAAAATACCCAGAATTAATAAATGTTATTTATCATTGAAACTGAAGCTTGAAGAGTTTCTATTTATCTATTACCAAAAATTCTAATAAAAAGATGATTAATTAACATTTAGTCACATTATACCTATAGAAATGAAAGAGGAGGGAATATGGATAGGAAAATGAATTTGAAAATCTGTCCGTAAAGCCTCATAAAAGTTGCAAAACGTCTCAGTCTCGTAATTTTAAAATGCAATGTTTTTTAGTATGATTTTTTAAGTGATCCACCACTGGAGCAATCTATAACCATGACTGGTGCAAACAGTGATCCAGAATAGGATCATTGACAAATTATCTTTGATGGAGCATTAAAGTAAACGTAGGTGTCAAAATCAAGTCCAACCTTGAAGGAAATGTCTATTGGAACTATCTGGTCCATAATACTATAAAGAATAACCTCGAATTTGTCTAAAAGCAACCTATACAGAACTTCAAAGTCAAAATAAGAAAGTTAAGGGGCTTAACTGATCTACCACTGGTGCAGTTACCCTAGTAAAAATTTTTTTGTAAACACTAATAATTCAATTGATAATATAAAACAATGATTAATTTTAAATTATGTCAAGTGTGACTTTAATGAATAAAGATTAACTGTAATTATTTAATACATAAAACATAATTTGATTTTATTGTTTATGGACGAATTAATATGTATAAAATAAAATTTGTTTTTTTCTATAACAGTCTGAAATATTTTTAATATCTTTAATGCTGTTGTACCTTTAATGTTTATCAAATATATTTGTTTACACAGTGCTCTCTTCTGTTAGTGATTTATAAATTAGATAATTTATAAAGTACCAAAAAGAACTGGACTATCTTATAATGAAGGAACTCGAGGTGTGTATCGACAAGATCAAAATAAAGTTTACTAAGAAACTAAGAAAATTTAGTGGTAAAATCATTGTATTATTTAATGCTAACAAGACGAATATATTTAAATCAGACCGCAATAGTTTGAGGGTAAACTACCCCTAAAAATGTATTATTTTCCAAAAATTTTAAAATATTAACAAATGGTAAGAAAATACAAATAATATTCAATTTATATCCGTTGTAATAATGTGTATAGTTTTCTAAATTATAGCCGAAAATAATATAGAAGGGGTAATTACCCTTAACAAAAAAATTTTGTTTTCTATTAATAAAATATAAAAACTACACTGAGAGAAGTTTAACGCAACATCTGCATCTTTTGAGGGACAGATATTGTACCACAATTATGTGCAGACGCAGTACTAAAATCGAACAGCAGCAGCGCCAATTAAGTACTGATTCTGACCTAACTTGTGGGACAAACGATTTAGTACAGTATCTGTCCACCAAAAAGCGCAGCTGCGATACAATTTAGAACCGATGTTGCTCGAAAGGTTAGGTACACTATCTGAACGTGTGTTTAGTACGAAATCTGTGTTTAACTTCTCTCAGTGTATGGAAAAAATTATTTTAAAAAATTCTAAGTACTTTAGGAGAAGCAGAACATAATTCTTTAAGAAATGAGAAAAAATTACTTTAGGGTGAACCAACCCTATTGCAAAACTAACATCTACAAAAAAATTTCAAATTTCAGATTATTTTTGAATCAAAACTCGAAATAATCTTTAATAGTTATATGTAATTAAAAATAAGAAACTACAGTATCGAAATAATATTTTATCGTGGTATTGAAATTATAATTATAATGTTTTAGTACCATTCTATCCATTTTAAACGTTAGAAATTAACATTAGTTAGTAATTATAACATATTAGTGAGAAAAAGTATAAAAATTTGAAATTTTAAAAAATTTTATATTTATTTTTTCCAAACAGAAGTTTTAAATAGAACATCATATTTGACCCTGTGCATTGTGCGACGTTCCAATGAACGTAACCGTTAATTTGCTGCCGCACGACCACAAACGAAGCGCAGATATAATAACACCCCCGTTCAACAGGCACATTAAAATTCACCAATAATAATACTTTTGTAAAACTAACCCTTTTATTATTATAAATTAACGAATAAATCCCATCGCAGAAGCTCTTCAATTTAAACTTAAAAATTAGAAGAAACCTTAATTTGATATTTTACAAACGAGTGCACCTGTTTTCTAAATTTTTGTGCTAATATCCCTTTTTTTACCCAAAAAAACATCAATTTTTATTGATTATTAAAAAATTATAATTTTATACATAAAAAGTTAACCAATTTTTTGTGATAATTGACAAAATATTAATTTTAACGACATAATTATATATTTAATTATTTTAAGTGGATTAATTTTTACATCATAAGAAATTAATTGACAGCATTTTATATACTATATTAAATTCTCGTATATATTGAAATTTTTATACTGAAAATAAAGAACCTTGAAACAATTTTTTTAACGGACGTTTAATGTTTTCTTATATATATATATATGTTGAAGGGAAAGTATTTTTTTTTTCATTTGATCATCTTAGTCGAGGTCTTTGCGAATCTCGTTTAAAGCAAAAACATCCCGCGTCAAAATGGAAAATCAATGTGAAACGATATTAAAATTTGACGGGCGTTGAAAGTAGGTTATATTTAACGTTCTCGCTTTTCTTTCCCCTTTTTATTTTTCTGCACGAATTCAAGTGAAAAGCAAGCGTCGTTGTTAGATAATAAATTCTTTTAAAATTTAACTCGTTTTCTGAATCACAGGTGAAAATTTATTTCTTTCAACAATATGTGTATGTTTTAGGATGAAAATCATTTTAATAATTTCCAAATATTTTCAATATTTATTTTAACACTTTTCTTTGCTGAAGGTGAATTCTATTATATATCTCAGAATTTTTATTAATAATTTTTTTTTAAGAAAAATAGATTATTTTTTTTCGAATAGGAACAATTTTCTAAAAATCCCACCGCTGTCACCATTTATGTTTTTTTTTCTGTTACATATCGCATATTCTCCATTTTAAAATAACTAATTTAAAATTAAAATCAAAATAATGGTTTCCACAATTTACAAGAAGGAATAAATGAATGTTTTAAATAGGAGTCATTATTTCCAAGTGTTGAACAAATCTTGTATTTCTCATTTTTCACATTTAATGAAATTTAATCAATTCAAGCCTCTGACATTATTGATAATGAGCTTCACATTATAGATGGAAAAAAAATTCTACATTAACAGACATAATAGAAAAGAGAATAAAAAGAAGAAAAAAAATTCCATGCATGAAATCGCGTGTGCTTGTCAGACAAGCTGTCATTGATGGCTGAGAATAGGAAGTGGGCGCAGCCATGATGGAAGTAATGCGAATTACTCTATATAGACGAAAGACTCAATTCACACTTATATACATTTCTCTCGTTTGTTCTGATCTTACTTCTCTAATAAGATGCATTAGGCTTCTTTTTTTTTTTGGTACAAACTAAATTATAGCTTCGCAAGCTTCACGAGAGAAGCAATATATGTGTTCTCTTTCTCTCTTTCACGTGAACACAGCTGGACGTCTGTATCTCACGTTTCAATATATCTCAATTATATCGTAAATAAAATATGACTGCCTAGTTGCGTGCACCCGGTAAATTGGCAGCTGAGGTGTCCGTTAGTGAACCTGTTCTCTTTCAGCTTCTTCCTCACGCGTATTTTGCCACCTTTTTTCCTATTTTAAAACCTTATTTTAAATATCTTTATCTTTTATCTACCCCATTTTTGTTTTATTATAAATATTCTTTACTTTTAATAATAATTTCCTTTCTCTTATGTAATACTCAACTGTTATGTCATTAAAAAGGTTTTTCATAAAAAATTTCATCTTGATTGATAAACCATTTATTGATTTATTTTCATTTTATTATTCAATTTTAACGCCCACTCTTAAACTGTCGCCACGTTATGAAAATCAATATTTTAAAATAAATGCAATAAAGATCTATAATTGTCAGAGTTTATCCTTTAAGGTTATATATGTGAATGTTGTGTGAGTTCACATGTCATAATGTTCTCTATAGGTTTCAAAATATATATTGTTTATTCAATATGTGAAACCACAGTTTCTTAAAGTTCATTTATTTATAAATTTGCATGGAACATTAATAATATAAAATACAAAAT